ACCTAAAATTCCTTCAAATCTATACTTGAACCATTCTGAAATATTTGCATTTTCTTACCCACTCCAAGCTTACACAACTCCTTATCTTGACATTGCTGGGCTGCGTATCTGTCACATCTTCCTCCTGGCTTCACCTGACCATCTTGAAGGATTCAGCTCAAAAGGCATTTTTTCCCCTTAGGATTTCTCTTACTCTCAGCTTGGATGAGTGAGTGGTCTTTACTGCCTGCTCCTGTGGTATAATGGAGCTTATCACCATTGTGACAAGCATATTATCATATCCATTAATATTATTTGTTTACCTACCCACAACATTAGATCATAAGGACACCCTAATGCCCTTCAGTTAAGGCTAGAATTACATTTTCTTAGTCCTGACGTCGTCATCATTTACCACAGTATTTGGGTATGCTGGTTAAATGAATAAATAGATGGATGGTAGGTTGCAAATTGATCCTCAAGGCTATGGAAAGCCATTGGATAATTTTTAATGCGATTGTTCTTGCATTTTTGGAGGGGAACATTTTGGTAAGAGTGGAGGATGTAGTCGAATGGGGTGAGCCTGGAGAGGCAAGATGAGGAAATTGAAATAATCCCACATGGAATAAGAAATAGAACTAAAATAGTGTCAGTATGGGATGAGAACAGAATTACTTTAAAAGATATTTAGGAAGTAAATAGATAGACCCTGTAAAATAGAGAAAATAGAGGCAAGTTCTTACCTTATTTTTATGTTTCTGGCTTGGGTTACCTGTTGGGAGATAGAGCCTTCACTCTATACAGGATATGTGCCAAGTGGACATACATTTTAGAGTCCCATTTTAGAGTAATGAGTGTGTGATGACAACAGAACATTTATGAAGAGAGTAAAGGAGGCAATTGGAATAATTCTAGCTTAGGTGCGAATCAGCACTTGATAAGTAGATTTGGCAGTCATCATGTATCAGGGAAGCCATAGACACAGATGTGTTCCCCAGGAAGCGTGAGGGAAGGGCCGAGGACAGGACTGGTAAGCACTCATGTTTGAATAATGAGTGAAAGAAAATAAACCCGTCAAGACAAACCTGAGAAGAAACAGCTGAACAAGCAGGCAGAAAATGGGGTGTATTAGTTTGTTAGAGCTGCCATAACAACTGGCGCTACACAGGTCTTTTTTCAAACCTGGTTTCTGTCCCTTACTAGGTATGTGATCTTTGCCAAATGCTCAAGTACTTAATCTCTGTAATCCTCAATTTCTTCACCTGTAAACATTCGAATAGTACTGCAAGATTGTGCTCCAAAATGTTGACAATGATTATCTTTGAGTGATAAGATTAGGGATTTTTTTTTTTCTGCCTTTGGCTGATCTGAAGTTCAGACTTTTTTTTTCCTGCCTAAAAGTAATATATGACTTTTGTAATTAACAAAAAAAGTTATTGTTTTTTTCTAAAAGAAGCTATTCATGCTTTCTGTAAACATGTGACATAATTGCAAGTTCTACTAATATCTGTGAAGAATTGTAAACAAAGGAATGGGTTAGGGAAATAGATATTCTCATTTTTTCCTGTATTAATGATCAGAAACATACATTGAGTACTGCAGGGCACAGAGTGGGATTCAAAGTTGAAAAATAAATAATCTGTGCTTTCAAAGACAACAATTGGTGGGTAGAATTCTAAAAAAGAAATGCATAACTATAATGCATTTTATGTCAGCATGGGACAAACAAACACACAAAAATCAGTTAAATAAACTTAATGCTCATTGGGTTCTCCTTGGGAGAAGAGGGATTATATTAGGCTGGAGGGATCACAGACTGTTTCTTGGAGGACCTAGCAGCACAGATGACCTTGCAAAGGTGACTCCCACAAATTCACTATTGTCTCAGTGCTTATTGGTCTGCTTCACAATAGAAGGAATATTGGGCAAGAGATAAGAGTTGAGAATGCACAGTGATTGATTTACATGGAAAGGAATCTCCCTGTCAACTGCTCTGTATGCCAGTAACCTCAACAGCTGCATGTCAACAAGTTCAGGGGAGTAGAAAGTTCTTGCTTCATCACAACCGGGTAATGCAGGCTTCAAGTTAACCACATTTTGATTCAGTTCATTTGTTTTGTATGTGTGTTCAGAGTTTGTAATACTGGAAAAATGAAGATATTAAAGCTGTTTAATTTGGTTCAAGTTGGTTTTATTGTTTTTATAGTCAACTTGGTAAAGGCTTAAATATTATACTTTCCTAGTTTTTCAAGTCCTGAGTCAAACTTTTATTTTTTTGTTTCTATCTGCAAATGGACCAATGTTTGTATATGTTTATTAATGGTCTATATGAATACTCAGAAAATTATAAGTCAATATACAAATTTGTGAAAACAAAGTCTTGAAAGAGAATATCGAACATCTCTTTCAATGGGATTCCCAAAAGGAAGGCGATATTGACAAATTTTAAAGATTGCCAACTTGTATTATGTGTGAATTTACATATTTGTGATTTCATTGTGATGGTTTCTAAAAGAAGAGTTTGCACTTGGCAATTTGCACTGAATTCAGGCTCAATTTCACAGGAGACTGAGGATTAAATCAGAAGTGTTAAAGGCAGACAAAATTAAAATCAACATTAGTGATATATGATGACAAAGACCATCAGTTAAATATTCAACCATGGACTCTAATACCTCAAACCTGGCCTTAAATAATGTAAAACACCTGTCTTTGCAATAAATATGACAAAGAAAGTCTCTTAGAATCAATTGGGCATTTATTTGCCTCAGTGTTTTGTGGGGAGAAAGAAAACATGTATGCTGGCCAGAAGAACTTGGGCAAATTTAGAAAAAGAGGAAGCTAATGCATTTCTCCATTTTTAAGAAAAGGAAGAAGTAGTGACATCACCCTCAGCTAAAATCTAGCTTGTTTATTTGAATTTATTAGGTAATACAATGCCTTCTTCAGTTATGAAGTAACTAGGATGATTAACTCCAATTTCCTTTTGAATCGCTGTTATCTCATTCACTTATCCATCCAACAAATATTCATTAAACACCTATTATGTGCTAGGTGCTGGGGATCAATAGTGAGTGGAAGGGACGATGTGATCCCTGTCCTCAAAGAATTTGAACTTGAGTGGAGGACAGGAATACAAGTTAAAGAATGATACAACTATAGCTGTAGCGAGGGCTAAAAAAGAGAAGCATATGGTGCCGAGAGAACCTATAATAGAAGATCTTCGCAGGAAGGTCAGAGAGAGCTTTCCCATCACGGGAGTTCTGATTTACCCAAGGAGGATTCAGAGTTGGCTGGGTGAAGAGAAAAGGAAGGTCAGAGGAAGGAAAGTGCACACTGGGGAGAGCTCTGTGCAGGAAGGATACAGGGGCATGACCTAGGAATTCAGAAGAGGCCCTCAGGAGCAGCCCAGTGGAAGGTAAGGAGAGGAGGGGGCTGTGAAGGCATGCTAATCTGCTTTCTATCCTCTATCTCAGGGGCAGTGATTTCAATCAGGGGGCTGGTAATCAGGTGTGCATTACGGAAAACTGACTTCAACTCTGGTATGAGAAAGAGTGAAAGGGCCCAGGATGGCCCTGACGGAGGGTGAGAGGCTGGGAGACTCCTGCTCAAGGGACCGCAATGGCATAGGTGAGGTGGCTGCAGAGGAAATGGGGAGAAGCAGATTTTGAACTCAACTTTTCTGCATCTTAAAGTGACTCCAGCTTTGCCAAAGCTGTTAGCGGGCAAGAAAATGCCCCAGCCCTTCTAATTTTACTGCCCTCCCTGCCTCCTAAATGTAAGAGCTGGGAAGTGGTCTTTTCCTAAAAGACACAATCAGGGGTAGCTTCAGGGCTGGTTAGAACAATGGTCACAAGACTTAAAGGTGCCAGGATCAAGCAAATGAAACCACAGATTGACAGGGAAGGTTTCAGGACTTGGGTTTATGGGAGGGGCTATTTACCTTTATGCATTTTCTAGTAAGCCTGGCCACCTGCCTCTCTGCAATCGGCCTTTGTCTCAGATAAAGGAGTTCCTTTTTTATCCTGCTGGAAGATCCCCTGACCAGAGGGGCTATAGAGAGTTTAAGTCTCTGAGAGCTGGAAGTAGGGTGAGCACATAATTCATTATCCAAGCAAGATGCATGGAAAAGAGAATGTGTCTTGGTTGGATAATGTTTAACTTCAAACCAGATATACACCAGGACCATTTGGGGCAAACCTGGTCACCCTAGCAAGAAGGGAAAGTTGGAAATGTATCCTGTCGGGCTCTGGCTCCCAGTTTTCCCTTTTGCAAAAGAGAGGCTAAGCATTCTCTCTCTTCACTGGCCTTATTGGAACGCAAACCCTGGCATTCGGCTAACTGCCAGGCCACTTTTATTTTTACATTTTCTGCCATACATGATAGGTTCTGAAGAGAACATTACCCAGCATTATCACTCAGTGAATCATTTATAATTCCTCACTAAATCGCCCCCTGGAAGAGGCCGTTGAAAATGGGACCCACCACCCAAGAGCTCAAAAGAAATGCCACATCCTAGAGGTACTGAATCAGAATCTGCATTTTAAGCAAGATTTTCAGGTGGTCAATACGCATATTATTTGAGAAAAAAACACCTGGACTTCAACCTCTAGTCAGAAAAACGTTTTACAATGTAACGGTGTATGCATACATAACTGAAACAAACGTTTAACGAGGCAATACTTACTATTTTATTTGGGGGGGGGGGAGTGTGGGAGAATGGGCTCACAGCTCATTCGATTTCAGCATCCACGCCTGGGTTGAGACTTGCCGTTTGAAACCCTAGCTCTCAAGTAGAACAATCCAAAGAAGGGTGGGGAGAGGGGAAAGGTGATTCGTGGGGTGCTTTGCAAAGTATACACACTTTCTATGTTCAGTTACTTTGTGAAACGTGTGCACTTAGTCACTCCGGAATAAGGAACTCCTGAGGGCGGTGAGGGGCAGCTGAAAGTTTGCCAAAGTCCTCGGAGGAGGGGCTGGTCTAGGGGACATGATTGGCAGCTGCGAGAGAGCGAGGGCTGGAAGCGAGGAGAGGGAGAAGGCTCTCTGGCGGTGAGAGGTCCTGCCCAGCTGTTGGCGAGGAGTTTCCTGTTTCCCCCCGCAGTGCCGGGTGAAGTTGAGTGAGTCACTCGCGCGCCCGGACCGACGACAACCCCGCGCGCGCACACGGCCGGGGCCGGAGCCGGCCTCCTGCGCAGCTCCCCTCGGCCGCCGGGGGCCTCCCCGCGCCTAGCCGGCCTCCAGGCCCCCCTCTCGCGGCGGAGCGGGCACCACATCTGGCCCACACATCTGCCCGGTCGGCAGAGCGCGGGGTCCCGAGAGGACGCGGCGCGGAGGCGCAGCCAGGGGTCCGGGAAGGCGCCGGCCGCTGCGCACCGGGCTCGGTCTATGACGAGCAGCGGGGTCTGCCATGGGTCGGGGGCTGCTCAGGGGCCTGTGGCCGCTGCACATCTTCCTGTGGACGCGCATCGCCAGCACGATCCCACCGCACGTTCAGAAGTCGGGTGAGTGGCCCCAAGCCGGGCTTGGCGGGGCTTCTGGGGTCTCCGGGGCTCCCCGCCTCTTCGCTGCGCTTGACAGGCGGCTACTCGGGGGCGCAGCGCTCGGGCGGAAACGGGAAAGTTTGCCTTGGGGCACCCATACCGCCCTACCGCCTTAGCCACGGGGTTGTGTGCGTTTTTCTTTGAAAAGAGAAGGCAAGTTCAAGTGGCAGGGGGCGCGAGGGGCGTTTGGCCCCCTTTGTGCGGGCAGGAAAGGCGTTGTGTGTTGGCGGCGTTCGCAGCGCGCCCCCACCCCCGGAAAGGGAAGTTTGAGAAGTTGGTTATCTGGAGGAGGCAGGGGAACAGCGGCCTGGAGCGGCTGCCGCCGCGGCCGCCCGAGCTGCTGGCACACCTGGGGCCACTGCGGCCCGTGGCGATGCTGCGTGCCCACCCAGCACTTGCCGAGCCACCCCCTTAAGTGGCCAGTGACTCCATCCTTAACTCCTGGGAAGGGCCACGCATTCCCCCAGGCCGGATTCTGGGCTTGGAGTTACTGGACAAAACTTATAGGAAAAGAAGTGATTTCCAAAGGAAAGTTATCTGACTCCACTGAAGGCTTGGCCTGGATGGACGAGGGAGTGAGGATTGTTGAGGGAGGCGGAGAATTATTCACTGAGTGCCTGCTGGGTGCTGGGTGCTGGAGATGTTTCCTGGAGCACGACAGCCCTACCTTCCAGGAGTTGGGTTCTCTGCAATTATCGTTTGATGGAAACGGAAGGGTTAAAACCATAAATCTGCTGCGCACCTGATCTCTATCTATAGAGGTGTTTGTGGGGGGCCAAGGGGGGGGGGAATGCAAGAATTGAGTTCTTCAAGATGTGTTATGGAAAATCCCAAACCCCTGAGACCTTAAAAATTAGAATGTTTGCAGCTATGATCCACATAACTGAGTATCTGCAGCTGTGCTCTGTCTGGGTAACTGAGTACTTGGACCTTTCAGGGCCTCAGTTTTCTCATCTGTAAAATGACATGGTTAGATTTGGGTAATTTTGCATGCCCTTCATCTTGAACGTGTTATGCCCCTCTCCTGTCCCGTTGGTGACTTAGAGATACTGTGTGTAGATATGGGGTGGAATGGAGAGCATTTGACAGCCGCCAGTACCCTGAAGCACATGTTTCATTTGCCAAGGGCCTCAGGCAAACTTACCTTTGGGTTTGTCTTGAAGAAATATGCACCAGATTCTAAATGGTACATTCCAGAGTATTTGAAGTGGATGGAGAATTTCTTAAAATTATGTTTCATATTGAAGGTTGCGTGGAGCTGGGAGTTTTTAATGTAATGAGGAAAAAGTACTATTGTAAACAAACAAAAAAAATTCTAACACAAATTTGAGTTCTACGGTTTAATAAATTCCCAGTGTTTCATTTTTGGATGTTTTCCTACATTGCAGTACCAGTATATTCAACTGTCTCTGATTGTACCCCAGACTCTTAAAAACTGAGTTATATTTTGCTAATAAATATTTTAAATGCACCCTTAATTTTCTGTGTACATTAAAAATCATTAAAACTTTTCTTTCAGATTACGAAAGAAGGAAATTTGTGGGCTCTGATTTTGTTAGGTTTTGTTTACAAGGATAAGATTTATGATTTGCAAATTCCAGACGCAATAGTTCATGAGTCAGTTTCATTTCATCTATATACACACTTTTAAACAATTAAAAGCCTCGTGGCTTTTTATTTGGGCTTTTAAACAGTTTTACAAAACCCACAGATTTTGTACTTTTATAGAATTAAAGTTTCAAAATGGTTGAACTAAAGAATCATTTTGAACATGCATTAATTTGAAATTAAATTTAAGAAGATAGTTGAAGGTTGAAAGCAGCTGTAATGAGAACAAGAAACCTAATTCATGATTGCATTTTAATTTTCCATGTAAGTAAATGGTTTCAGGATTTTTCTAACATGATTGTCAATTGAAATATGTCAAGACATATTTCAAAATATTTTAATACATGATAAGATATGAAGAAATGAGATTATTTACAGCCTCCTAGTAGGTCATACACACACACACACACACACACACACACACACACACACACACAACCATCTCCTGTTCAGTAGATTGACTAGTGGGCAAAGGATTTCAGTACAAGAACAAAGTTCACTAAGAAATGTACTTAACTTTAAAAAAATGTTTGGTTTTGAGTTAGTAGATTCATTCTTCCTGAATGCTCAGAATTAAGTAATTGCTCTTTTGGGAAAAGCTTTAAAATATCTGAGAACTCTTCAGATCTGAAAAATGTGACTTAACTTTTCAAATAACTAACAATAGATTCTTGTGGATGACTGTTGGTAAAAGCGTCAACGGGTAAGCTTCTTTACTAAAATCACATTAATGATGTGCTTATTTTGTCAGAGTCAGAGATGAGAAGTCAGTAGGCCCAGAATTTGATCTTGGTCTATTTGCTTTTGTTCCCAGAAAGCACATTTTCACTTCTAGGCCACTTTCTTTAATAACATTTATTTTTAACCAGTTATGGTTTACACAAAACACTCATCACATTTTGGATTCATCGGCTTTGTTTGGGGGGTGGGGCGTGCAGGTTGCACCCCATGATGATAGGCCCTCATTACCATCTGTGTAGTTGACCTAATGGCTACGCGTTTTTCATTTCAGTTTACCAATCCTCATTTATCCGGACAACTTTCAAATTTTTTCTTTATTTTTTAACCCTATTTTCCCAGTTAAGACGGACACTTCCTCAGTGCCATTGTAAAAAGCGGCTACTGCTCATTTTTCCTTATCAACAGTATTTATAGTGTCCTTGGACAAGGCAAAAGGCTCAGACTGGAGACACCATTCCAAATGAATAAGACAGACGTGGTCTTTGCCCTCATTGAGTGTAACATATGGGGGCGTGTTAGAGGCAAAGAGAACATTCATATTTTAACCCTGTGTACTTGGACGCATTACCGAACACTGGTAGTTTATTCCCTAGGCCCCTCTGTCAAAAGCCCATTTTGCTGTTGGATGAGCTAGCAGAAGGTGCATGTTGAATGTTTCCTTCTCAGCCCTTCTGAACTTATTTGTTTCCATTGATCTGCTCTTTCCTATACCTGCCTTATTACAGGCCTCCGGTTGGGCCAGCTCAGTTCTCCATTCTGTAGCCAGAATGATGGACCCAATGTGCCCATCCAGTCTCTCTTTTGAAGATAGACTTGGAGATGGAAGAGTATCGGTACAAGTTTTGGAGTCAGGCTATCCTGGGTTCCAAACCTTCCTCCCATTTACCGGCTGTGTAGCCTGTTTGCGTGACTTGACTTCTCTAGCCCTCAGTGCTTCTTAACATGGTGCCTGTAACATAATAAATGCTCAATAAATATCAGCTTCTATTATTATTATTATTATTATTGCCAGAATCTGGCCTAACGAGGTCCTCAGTGACCTGGTTCCTATGTGATTCTGCAGCTCCATATCCTACCAAGACGCACGCTTTCCCAGGCCACTCTTACCACCATGTACATATGCTGTGAGCAGTTTAGGTACCTGTGTCTTTGTTCATGGTGCTGCCTGGAACACCTGCTACCTGGATAACTTTCACTCTTCTTTTAAGACTTAACTCAAGTGTCATCTTCTTAAGAAAACCTGCTTTGAATGCCTCAGGTTGAGCCAACTGCTCTCTCCTGAGGGTAGGCCTCTCTTTTAGCTCGTAACAATAGTTAACAATAATAAGCCAAAATCATATTTTCATGTGACTCCCTTGCCCTTTAGGGCTTTAATTTTCTCAAAGGCAAGTGGTGTCTCTTATCCATTTCTCTATCTCCAGGTCTCCTGCAGCACCTGATGCATCATTTCATATCCAGGAGATCCTGAGCTCAGCCTCCACTTTGTCTTCTTGGAGGTCGTGCAACCAAGTGGAGCATTTTAACAACCAGGCAGTCACTCTGTATTAGGACTTTGGTCTGAATGGTAAAATCTTACTTTCAGTAAGAAGAGTTTCAGCTCTCACCTAAATAGGCAGTTTGGCTGTTTTGACTCTATATACTTGGTTCTTTTATTCTGATGAATAAGATGCTTCAATTTCTGCCAAACATGATGGAAAGCTGCTAGAAATTTTCATCCAACTCCTTGAACTATGCATTTTCAATTAGTGTAGGCCAGCATTTAAAGCTATTGCAAACTTTTAAAACATTTCACCAAAGAAAATTTCCAGTGAATACTGAATCCTCTCTTTCTCTGTCTCTCTCTCTTCCCTAGAAGGTTGTCAAAAGGAGACTTTCATTAACAATGAAGTGCTGAACTCTTAATTTAGTTTTTAAGGTTTTTTTTTTAATCAGGGTTTTATGTTTTGGTTTATAAGCAGTGAAGCAGAGTTGGCCTAAGGGAAGTATGGTCCTGCAGCAGCTGCTGTCTACTGTAGAGTAGCGTGGATATTATTTAGGTCGGATGCAAAACATCAAACTGGTTTAAAATAGGGTGCAGAGGAAACGTTCTTCCTGTCTACAGCATGGCATTATTTAACCCATTTCCACATACAAACATAACTGTGTCACTTCTTTAGCGTCCGCCCTCCAGGGGTGAGTCCAGCAGACTTAACTCAAGGTTTTCAGTAGCATTGACTTAACCAACCTGCATCCGCAGCTGAAATGCTCACTCCCCGTACCTTGTATTATTTTGCTCCCCAGGTACCTGTTGCTTCTTACTGAGGCAAGATAATGATGACTGCCTTCGCTTGGCGTGTCAGAAGCGTTTAGAATATGAGCAGGCAAATTGGCTCATCTCAGGGAGAAGTGGGGAGCAGGGAGACCTAACATTTGAGCATCTGCTCTGAGCCAGCTGCTTGACATTGCTTATCTAATTCCATCTTCAGAGGAACCCTGGACAATAAGCTGTATTATCTTTATTTTATAAATGGGGAAGATACAGTCTGTTCAAGGTCACTTGAGGTTTGCCTGTGTGTGTGTGTGTGTGTGTGTGTGTGTGTGTGCGCGCGCGCGCGCACCCACGCGTGTGCACA